ATTGAACTTATAATATTACATAATACATGAAAAAACAAGATCTTAGATTCTCAGATTTAACGAGCAACAATTAGCATGACGTCAATAAACGTTATCAGTAACGTCATTAATGTCATGGGATACAAGATGGCGGAAAAATCACGTGTTTCACAGTATCCAATCAAAAACTGTTCGCCATTCACACATCTCTGATAATAAGTCTCTAATTGACATATATGAAAACATACCTAACCTTTCACGCAGTTGGAAGAAAAATGGCAAACGAGAATACTCATATTTATAGAGGCTTAAGGTCTTCGCACGTACAAAAATTTTAGTCGTAACCGTAAGATCGTAAGAAAACTGACCAATCACAGTTGATTATTCTTTTATCGTAGAAAAAATACTCGACTATGATTTGTTAGTTTTCTTACGACCTTATGGTTACAGGCCGCAGCAAATACTTTTGCATAAGTGCATAACCATAAGTATAAGGAAATTGATTGGTCCTAAGTATATGCATAAGAAATATGTAAATTAAGTATATGCATAAGAAAATGAACCAATCAATTTTCTTATGCTTATGATTATGCGCTTATGCAAAAGTGTGTGCTGCGGCCTTTACGACTAAAATTTTTGTATGTGCAAAGGTCTTTGGGCCGGGTCTACAATAGATAATTTAAGCCCTAAGCCTTAAGAAATTGATCAATCACAGTCGAATATTCTCTTCATACTCGACTGTAATTGGTCAATTTCTTAATACTTAGGTCTTAAATTGTCTATTGTAGACAATTGATCAATCACAGTCGAATATTCTCTTCATACTCGACTGTAATTGGTCAATTTCTTAATACTTAGGTCTTAAATTGTCTATTGTAGACCCGGCCTTAGTTCCACCTAAATCAGAGGCATAGCCGCTCTCAGCGCTTCTCTCTGGTAGAACTTAAATATAGAATTGAAATTAAAAACGAGGACGCTAACTTAATAGTCATTTTTATTTTCTATTTCACAGCAATCTCACAAACGTTTTAATTAATCTCACAATCATCTACAAACAAATCACAAACGATAAAAAAAATTGAAAAGTCAAAATAAGGATGCCAAGTTTCCGGAGCCCATTCTGACAAATGACAAATTGTCATTGACAATCGAACGCGACTGGTGGATGCACTTTACGTTGACCAATCATCTTTTCATTTTCTATTCCAAAGGTGCCCAACTATTGGCTTGCGATAAATGTGTCCAATTTTATAAAAGACGAAAGCAGACGTCGCATATTACGCAAATGCGCGTTATATGATAAAATAATTGTCGAGGGGAGTTATTTAAGTGTCAAGAACGATAGAGGGAGAATCCTTAAATATTGATTATTTATGCATTCATGGAATTTCGCGCCATAAGAGACAAATCTTTTTTTTTCTCTTAACCTAACTTTGCGCGCGAATCTTGCAATCGATAGCTCTTCGCTTGCATCACGACAGAGGTCATCCGCTAGGTCAAACCTCATTCCTCGTCAATCGGTCCGTGAGAGTTGTCACGTTAGGCGAGCATCTTTCAGCAACACTCGGTATATCCGTGGAAAATCATCGTGAAGATCGAGAGAGCTCTTCCGCTTAAAATCATCCGAATTGCGTGAGTGGATTTTTTTCCTCGCACAATCGATCTCTTTCGGACAAGTGTTAATGCCGGTTACATCGTCCCATGTATTCAATTACATGATCATTAACGATGTAATCTTATTAATTAGCATGATCTATAGTGCTCCTAATGGAATTTGAAACATATTTTTCTTTGAATTTCGATTTTTTAAAATGGGTGGGTCATGCGATGACCTTGACAAGGTCGATCAGGAGATCTGCCGATCATTATTGACATTTGTATTATTTTATTGATACAGTGTTAACTCTTAGATTGATATTTGCAAGGTTGTTTCTTTCAAAGATACCCGATTATTTATATTGTCACTTTTAGATATTCTTTTATCGCACTATGTTGGAGTGTTCTTGAGTTTAAGAGTTCTTTTTTTTATTGGAGGGATTTACTAATCTATATTTTATCTATATTTATTGCATTTCTCTCTGTTGTAACAATTGTTGTAAATTAAATCACATGAGTTCCCATATTTAACGAATAATGATTTATCACAAAATCATTCGGTAATAATTGTTAATATTGAAGAGTACTTATAAATATATTTATTTATAATACTATGATTATTTCTTGTGACAAACAATAAGCGTGAGAGAAGAAAGAAAAATATTGTGTTATAAATATAATGCAATTTTATTATCTTTAATACATCAATATATTTTATTTATATTATTGCATTGGTTTTAGTGCTTTTACCTTAGCAAGGTGCTTTTCATCATCTGCAAGTAATTGTATCAAAATGCCTATACAAAGTATCAAGGCTCGTCAGATCTATGATTCTCGTGGAAATCCCACAGTTGAGGTATTTGAAAAGATTTTAGAGAAATATATATGTAATATATATACAGAGTATCCCAAAACTCATAATCAATCTTTCAAAGACAGATTCATCTGAAGACGATTTTTCCTCAACGAAAATGTCGAGGCACTAATTTTCGAATTATAAGTGATTGGAAATAAGGGATTTTTCGTAAACTAAGTTTTGTAGAAATAAAATATTAACAAAACCATATTCTTTGATTAATTTAAATAGAATTTACTTTAGTTGAGTTTTAATTTAAGGCTTAATTGCAAAGATATATGATGACAAAAATTGGGAACATGCAAAAAATGATGGCCTTCATTGACATTTTCGCTGAGGAAAAATCGTCTCCAAATGATCCCAGGAATCTGTCTTTGAAAAATTGATTATGAGTTTTGAGACACCCTATATATATATATATATATATATATATATATATATATATATATATATGTGTGTGTATTGAATATTCTTTTAATAATATTATATATGCTCTGTTATAGGTCGATCTTGTTACTGAGATTGGTTCTTTTCGTGCAGCTGTGCCATCTGGTGCATCTACCGGAGTTCATGAAGCTCTGGAACTGAGGGATAATGATAAATCTAAATATCATGGAAAATCTGTTTTCAAAGCCATAGAAAATGTTAACTCTATCATTGTTCCTGAATTGTTAAAGGTACGCTGTCTAAATAAATATATATATAAGCAAAGTCTTTGTTATGTAACATTTAACAATTATTAAGAATAGATAAAGAAACACTTTTATTTTTAAGGCCAATTTGGAAGTCACGCAACAAACAGATATTGATAACTTCTTGCTGAAACTAGATGGTACACCAAATAAATCCAAACTTGGAGCAAATGCGATTTTAGGTGTCTCTTTAGCAATTTGTAAAGCTGGTGCTGCTAAAAAGGGTTTACCCTTGTACAAGTAAATATATCTAATGATAAATTTAAAAATATTTAACTATATTCACATTTATGAAAATATTTTACACACATATATATATATATTTTTTTTTTTTTTACAGATATATCGCCGAGTTGGCTGGCAACAATGATATTATTTTGCCAGTGCCAGCATTTAATGTAATTAATGGTGGTTCGCATGCTGGTAATAAGCTGGCTATGCAAGAATTCATGATCTTGCCTACTGGCGCAGCCAACTTTACAGAAGCCATGAAAATGGGCAGCGAAGTATATCATTACTTGAAGGCAGGTATCAAGAAGAAGTTCGGCCTCGATGCCACTGCTGTCGGTGACGAAGGTGGATTCGCACCAAATATTTTGGAAAATAAGGAAGCTCTCAACTTGATCATAGATGCTATTAAGGTAAAAATTTAAGATATTTGAATTAATTATTATTTTATAATAATTATTAATTGCAATAATATGAATATTTGAATTATATATGAATTTTATATATGAATATTTTTTTAGACGGCCGGTTACGAAGGAAAGATCAAAATCGGCATGGACGTTGCCGCTTCCGAATTCCACAAGAACGGAAAGTATGATTTAGACTTCAAAAATGAGAAATCTGATCCGAGCACATACTTGGAACCAGAAGCATTGAAAAACTTGTATTTGGAATTCATCAAAGATTTTCCGATCGTATCGATTGAAGATCCCTTTGATCAAGATGGTTGGGATTCCTGGACGGCTTTGACTGCGGCCACTCCTATTCAAATTGTTGGTGATGATCTTACTGTCACAAATCCTGAAAGGTAATATTCAAGATAAATGCCTTGATTTTATTTCCAATTATTTCAAGCTAAATTTATATATTTATCATTTATATTATATCTTACTATATTATATCTTACTATATTATATCTTACTATATTATATCTTACTATATTATATCTTACTATATTTGTATTTACTTATATATTACAGAATCAAGACAGCTATCGAGAAGAAAGCTTGCAACTGTTTGTTGTTAAAAGTGAACCAAATCGGTAGCGTAACAGAATCCATTAATGCGCACAAGCTCGCCAAGAGTAATGGTTGGGGTACGATGGTTTCTCATCGTTCCGGAGAAACAGAGGATACATTTATCGCCGATTTGGTTGTTGGTCTGTCAACCGGTCAAATTAAGACTGGCGCACCCTGCCGCTCAGAACGTCTAGCCAAGTATAACCAGATTCTGCGTATCGAGGAGGAACTTGGTGCTGCTGCGAAGTACGCTGGCGAGAAATTCCGCAATCCTCATGCTTAAATAAAGCTGTAACATACCTGTCACAGTCCATTATCACAAAGTTTTAGCTATCTCTAATGTTACGTAAACGAATCATTTACTTTTGTGATCGCATTAGATGCGATGTAGTCTGAAGACATGTATTATTTTTGTAACCCTGATAAAATCGATACACATCGTATATAACAATAGAGAGCATGCTAAATACAGTTATATTAATCAATTGAAAAATAATCCTGACTCGATTGGAAAAGAACTGTACAGATTAAAGTAAAATTTAAAATATCAAAGAGTTTTATTTTCTTTTTTATTAACATTTAATTTCAAATCGATAATTTTGATTTTATATTTCCAGTGTATGTTATAAAGACTTGATATCTTCTATAAATATAAAAATATATAAATATATATCGACAATAGATAACTATATTAAAGAAATGTTACATAGAGTTATATGTACATATATGTCACAGGCTCTATAAATTCAGCCTTTTTTTACAAAAAGCTTAGGCTTTATAAAACGTTGATTTATAAAAAGATTCGGCGCTTTAGAAAAAAGCTGATTTTACAGAAATCTACAAAACATATACAAGGAGAAATAAAAAAAGACAACATGGGAAAAATATTAAAATTCTATTCGATTATAAATCGTATATTGAATATTACATATGACAATATAGGTGATATATAAGTGATAGATTGTATTGGTAAATTTTTTGCCGTTAAAACCATATCTAAAAATAAAACAAAATGAATGAAGACACATGCACGAGATTCAAAAATTTGAACATAGACGTACATTATTACATTATTTTATTTCAGCCGGTTTCTCTATTGTCCTAAATTGCTCTAAGTTGTCCACAATTAATTTATTAGACGATTGTAATGAAATCGGTTAGTATTTATCAGAAATTCTGTCTTATTCACAAATCTCAGTTATAAAACTGAAATATAATTTTTCTTTGTAGATACTTTATAGAACAATATACTTTGTAGATTTACAATACATATGATATAATTTATTATTCATAATTTTTACTTACATAATCGCATAATTTAGATAGCGATAAATTTAAGATACAATATAAAAATATATAATACAATTATTGTCTAATAATATCGCAGTCGTATATAAATTAAACTTATCTTGTTCTTATTTACAAATCAAGTAGAATGATTAAATGCTCAGGCGGAAGCATCGTTCGTCGGCACGAATGTATCCCTTCTGCTTCGTGTTCTAGTTATCCATAGAAGATTACTTTGCTGTGAAAGCACAATTATGTTAAGTATGCTGTCTCTCTGATTAATAAGTCTTTCCAATTTCATAAGTTTGCTTACTTGGAAATAATCTTCAATCTCCTGAAGCGTACAATCTTTAGTTTCTGGTAGAGCGAGGTAAATAAAGACAGCTTCTAAAAGAGCGGAGATGCCGAAGATAATGAAAACTCCTGTGATGCCAACTGTAGCGTTTAACTAAGAATATTTAATCTTTTTAAAAAAGAAAGGAAATGCAAAATATTTCACATGCGCATGTATATGTTTAATAGAAACGAATGTATATTTTTTAAGATTTTCATCTCGCATACGATTTTTATTAATTTAAATGTTAATTAAATATTATTATTAAATATTTTATTAATTATTTAAATTAATAAAAATCGTAATATTTTATAATTAAATATTTTTATTAATTTAAATTTAAATATTATAATGTACGATTCATATACCCATGGGAAGCATTTGGTAACGAAGAATAAAAGTAGATTGTAGACGAAGAAAGTGCATCCGCCACCGATACCTCGAGCCTTTAGAGGGAACAATTCACCGGCCATCAGTCCAGGGAGCGTCAGCAAACCCATGGTGTTCGCACCGACGTAAAATAACAAACATACGGCTAACACATAACCCTGAAATCATTTGTTAAGTTTTATCGTTTATATATGAGAACATTGAGCAAATTCCCAAAGAACACATTGTAGTCAAAATGACGTCATTTTACATCAAAATAGAAGAACTGACGATTTGTTGACGATTATTAATATACGCAATAAATGGATTATTTCTCATTTATATTCACCTAATTTCAAACAATCTGTTTAATATTCTGAATTCCAACAAGGAATCCGGATTATTAAATAAATTATTTTAAATTTAGTTTATTAGAAATTAAACTGATCAATAGTGATGCCAGGAACAGGAAGAGGACATTACCCATACGCACACAAGCAGAGAGCTGCTACGTGGTTCTCTGATTGTGTGCATGTGAGCATCGTCCTTTTTCTATTGCTCACAAAGGGAAAAAATATATATTACAGATCTTATCTAATGTTTAGTAGCACTTTATATATATCCTTTATATACATTCATGATGAAAAATTGAATACGCTGCGTAACGGCAAATATGGAAACTTACTGTATAAATGTGTATAAAAATAAGATGATAATAGAAAGGCTACCCAGATAGCCAAATGCAATGAGGTTGCTGTCATGTTGCCAATAATAATAATAATATGTTGAAGCAACTAATTTTAACAAACTATAAAGACAAGGTGAGACAGCATTATGTTTGTTACGTTGAACTCACATGAATTCATGTGCTAATAACAAATTAATTGCAACGTATCAGCATATTGTTGACATGTTGTAGATAACGTAATATACCAATATTGCAGACCATTTGCTTCGTTAATTGATTGCATATAGAAGCAGACATATAGCTGCATTCGTAACGTATTCTATTTCGTCAGCAAGTATATACAAATATATAATAATACATGCGATGCATTTGTTTGCTGAATATGTCATATCAAGCTTGGTTATCTGGGTATTAAATTATAAAAAATGATCCGTACATTAATAATAATTTTCAAAACTTTTACGTATACTAAACTTGATACTATACTACTATACTAAATTTGCAAGACAAGCGCAAAATCATTTATCCGTCACGAGCAGTATATGTTACTGGAGGTCAAATTTTCGTCACATATCTTTACTAGCCGCTATGCGGCAACACCCAATTTAACTAACTCGTATTCGAATTCATCTAAGGTGGTTATAAGGTCTACAAAGGATTAATGTAGTAATTATATTTCTTGTCTTGTGTCAGTTTAATTTCTGGCGATAAACTGACTTGATTTACTTAATATTCTGAATCCTAATGAGAGATCTAGATTATTAAGCAAATTATTTGTTTAATAATCTGGATCTTTTATTGGATTTCAGAATATTAAACAGATTTTTCTTAATTGAATGGGTAAATAGAAAATAATTCATTTATTGCACATATTAAAATATTCTGGTGTCGAATGTATGTAAAATAATTGTATGTAATATTATTGAGATAAATATTTAAGGAACATCTAATAATAATAGATGTTTTTTAAAGACATTTTTTCCTATCTTTCTTAAACATTTTTTTATATTTTCAAAGTTCATTTATTAAATTTAAAACGGTGTCTGCATTTGTAGCAAAACGCGTTATAATATTACAAATACGTTGCACCGTAACATTGCTGCAATATTGCATTGCAATATTTCTACAAGCGGACATTTTACCGTTGCTGCAATATTGCAGCAATATTTTGCAACATTTCTGCAATGTTGCAATCTTGCAAAGAAATATTTCTACAATGTTGCTGCAATATTACTGTGCCGTATGGGATGATTATTTTGAGTCAAAATAAAGTCATTTTGACTTTAGTGCGTTCCTTGGATTGAGATACTTACGTCTGCGGAAGATTCCTCCTTCCGGGTGATTATGTATCCCGCGAGAATCAACGAGGCCAAGGACGTACCAACCGCCGAAACGATACCTAAGGATCGTCTGCCCATTTTAAGTAGTACAACGCAAGAGACAATGGAGAAGATAAATCTGATGACCGCCGTCACCACGGCCGCCAAATAATTATCGACGTCGCCGCCGCCTACGAGAGGAAGAGACGCAATAAAAATTTTGTTACATCCACTTTAAAGATTTGCTCGGACGGAAATTAAAATTTCGCCGGAAAATGAAATTGACTCTTCCTCACCGATTTCCTTGATTATATCGACGGCGTAGAAGACAATAATGTACGTTCCGCTGCTCAATTGAAGAATATTGAATATACCGATGATGATCAATGGTTTCAACACGCCCGGATCGCGGATGACGGACATCGCCGAGAAGATCCTTTTCCTCAGCGACACATTTGTAGGTTTTTCAGACACATCAGTTCTCATCCCCGCGTTCAAGAGAGCTATTTCCGCATTCACCTAATTAATTAAAAATAATTTCGCTTTAATCAGTGATCAATGTTTAGCTCGTTTGCTGCTTTATGGTCTTAAAATACGCAAGTTTACGAGTTTCTACCTGATCTACGTCGCCGCCTCTGAGCCATAAAAGAGCCTTCTTGGCTTCTTCATTTTTTTTCCGTCTAACGAGCCAGGTCGGACTTTCGGGCACCAAACAAAGAGCGATAAAAGCCAAAATAGGAAGCACGAGGCCGCTAAATGCCACAATATCCCAATTAAAAGAGGCGCCTAAAACGTAAACCATCAGGATACCGAGGCAATACGAGGCGAACGAGAAGACTAGTAAAAAGCCACGTAGGCCGGGGTCCGCCATTTCTCCCACCAGAATCTGACGAATTTACAGAATAAAATGTAACTTAAAATAATCATTTTTTAAATAAAACTATTAATTTTTTAACAATTTATGTAATAAAATAAATGGAAAAATTATATCTATATAATCAGTAGCAACGATTACAACGAAATAAGTAGTAAAAATCGCTTTATGAACAGATCGAAAAGAAATTGAAGCAATCAGAAAAAATATAATTACATAACATCACATTAAATGTCGATAAAATTATCCAATGTTGCGTGGGATAATATTATGATACAAAAAACTGACTTAATGATTTTAAATATAATTTTTCACTATAATATTCATCTTTGATTAACGTGAAATTTATTTCGAAAAATTCCATTGATGTTACGCATCATCATCAAGACAACTGTATTATTTTATTACTGTACCTGTGAGGGCACTGGCATCAATCCTACAGATATGCCGCAAACGATTCTTCCTATTAAAATAGCGACCACGCTTTTCGAGAAACCGATGATCAACCATCCTATGCAGAGAGGAACTGTCGCCCATTGCAAACTACTTCGTCGACCGATCATTTCCAGCAATGGTCCCGATAGCAACGAGCCGACAGGAGTAGCCAGACTGTGAATCGAGGCTGCATAACAAATAATTAATCGCTTTAATCCCATCAATTCATGTTTTACAAGATATTGAATATCTTTGATATCTTTCCTTCCCTAGGAAAATTTGGATTCTCGTATTTCGTAATCGAGAAGCTAAATATACAACATGAATATCCGAAAAATATTCAAAAGACATCTTTAGATGATGATGAAGGATGCCTTTGGGATATCTTTTGTATGTCTTTTGAATATACATGTTGTATGGGAATCTTTTACACACGGTAAAAAACATTTTTTGTATTTCTGTTAAAATTTTCTCGTGTAAAAATTTTTGTGTTAAATTTTTAACATACTCTTATGTTAATGTAACATATTATTGTTGCGTTATTTTGACATTTGCGTTGAGTTAATATTCACCGTTTCTAAGAGTTAAAACAACACAATTAATATGTAAATCCACGAATTTTTGATGAAATATGTTATATGTTAAAATGAATAGATAAGTCGTGTTATTTTTCTCTCTATAACAGTTTCCATATGTTAAATCGATATATCTCTTCTGTTATTTATCATAAAAATGTAAGAATAACATTTTCTTTTAATTAAATTTAACATTATAAATATGTTAATTTAACATAAACTTTATTTCTAGATAAAGTTTAAGTGTTACACTTTTATGTTAACTTTTAAATATATTACTTGTGTTATTTATTTACATATTTGCCTTCTGTTAAATTAACATTAAAATTAGAGTGGATAAATTGGGACATGTGAAATATGTTAAATTTAACACAAAATTTTTTACTGTGCAGATTCATGAGTCATATGAGAGATGAGCAGAACTGAAAATATCCTAGAAATGTAAATTTATGCGTTTATAATGAGCTCATCGACCGGCGTGTATAGTTACATATGTTAACAGTTCAACCATAAAAATACTTTTCAAAAGTCCCATTAAGGCGTTTTATCGATCTATTTACGATCACGTGTGTATTTACGTTATTATTGGATTGCGCGTAGGATGCTTTGTTATAAATGTTAAAAGTTTAACTTTCAATGACACGATCATAATCGCATGTTATCGCATACTTGATATACATTTGCACAAAAGAGAGTCTCTGTAAAAATTTCTACCGACTTGGCGCGAAAAGCTGTCAAGATTCAGTCGCTCTATTGCTCGTCGACTTTCAACAGATAAAATTACAGATATATTGCTGAATATTACATGAATGAGGAGGCAATTATCAGCATGAATATAAGCTTTGCGTTCTTCTCTCTCCTGAAAATGAGAAGAACTCGCTGCGCGTTACAAGAATTTACATCTTATAATTAAAAGAGAATTGCGGTAAGCTTGTTTCAAAGTAATAATTATTTTAATTTGCTCTCGCGCCAGAAAATAGAAGCTTTTTAAATAACGCGCTTATTAATGCTAAATTCTCATTATTGATTCCTTATTATCGATATCCAATAGATTAACGGAATGCCCGTGGTACTGGTTGATTAATGTAAATTGCGACTCCACTTTTTTTCGTTTCAGCTTATCGACGTTCTCATTGCGTCCACAGGGAGGAATGTAATCACAGTTCACGTGTATCGAACTTGTCTTTTTACATTGCTTTAATAAAATTAAAAGGATTCGTTATACATAGCTCCGATAGAAGGACAGTTTTGCCGGATATCTAGGTTCACATAGCGTGCAAAATCAGATAAAAAACTAAAGTAATTATTTGACCGGTTGAGCTAAATAAAAAAAGCTAAATATATTAGAAAGTTTAGGAAAAAGTAAAAGAGAATTAATTTAGAGTCTACAATTTATACTATATTATTTTATTATTTATGATAAAATATATATTTTTAGGATTTGTTTATAATTATATTTATAATATACAGGGTGTCCCAAAAGTCCCGGGCCGGTCGAATATTTCATAAACTATGCACTTTAGAAAGAAATGTTTCAGACAATAATTGTATGGCTTGAAGGGAGCCATCAGATAGTGGCAACGATTTGACATGGGAGAGTCATTTGAAAGTCACGTAAAGATCACCGTCAATTTCTTAAATGAAACTCCCTATTTTTTAATAAATATTCTGGTAGCTCACGTTGAGAGCTTTCCAAAACATAAGTAAGTAAACTATAATTAATAATAAACTATAATTAAGTTAGTTTTCATTAAGTACTTTCCGAATTATGAGGCTTAATATCATTTCTTAATTTTACATAAACCGTAAAATATCTTGTAAAATATTCATTTTTCGATTATCTTACCTTAATACTTTTATGTAAAAAATAATGAGAGGAATTAATTGGTGTAAAGAAAAAACATAGTTGTTTTTAAGAAAAAAGTATGTAATTTGCAATTAACAATTACATATTTTTTTTTAAAATAACCATGTGTTTTCTTTACACCAATTGATTCCTCTCATTATTCTGTACATAAAAGTATTAAGGTAAGATAATCGAAAAAAGAATATTTTACTAGATATTTTATGGTTTATGCAAAATTAAGAAATGATTTCAAGCCTCATAACTCGAAAAGTACTCAATGAAGAAATACTTTATTATAGTGTTTTGGAAAGCTCTCGAGATAAGCTATACGAATATGTAATAAAAAATAGGGGGTTCCATGTCAGAAATTGAAGGGGACCTTTACGTCACTTTCAAATGACTCTCCAAGGTCAAATCATTGCCACTATCTGATGGCCCCCTTCAAGCCTTACAACTTTTGTCTGAAACATTTCTTTCTAAAGTGCATAGTTTATGAAATATTCGACCGGTCCGGAATTTTTGGGACACCCTGTATAACTTTTTTACACTTCAGTTTCTTACACGAAAAATCGCTTATAAATTATAGATTTAAATTAAATTATTTCTATTGTTAAATTTTCAATTAACGGATTTGCAAACATCAAGAAATATTCTTTATGGCCCTTATTGGAACTTTGAGATATATATATGACCGGAACGAAATATTTTAATGTGGTGAGACGCAACCAATGATCCTAAATAATGATACCTAGGGAAACGGATCATCGATCACAACGGACGCATGCAATTTTCAGCAACATTAGTCACTCGTAATACATGGCAAGATAAATTCCGTATCGGAATAGCGAAATCAACCATGCAGGAACCACCTACGGAACCATCTATCAATATATCTATGGATATTTCGAGTTGATATATTTCAATAAACTGTCACCCCTTAACATGCGTGACCCACATTCTAACATTAGTTTCTTTTTGAGCCCATTCGATCACGTTTTGAACAGAAGTGAAAAAGAAAAATTTAGGGTCACATCTCCCTATTATTCTTGAATACTTAAAAATCCAATGCAATGTTAAATCAAACATCATCAAATTCTTCTTTTGGAGAAAGATACTTTACATATTATTTTTTGCAGTGAAATTGACGTATTAAAGAGAATCGGAATTTCTACACGGATTCGCATAAATGCACGATGTGTTAACAAATCTACGTCTGCCATCTGCAAACTATAAAATACATAATGTGCTGAGTATCGCGAATTTTACGACGCACTAAAACATCGTATGTGGTATGTGGCACTAAAAGAGAGGAAAAACAATGATAATTATCGCGTGCTGACATCGTAGTTCCGCTGTATGCGCTGTCCGTTTAAAAAATAATAGATATGCAGCTTTGTGCGCTACGTATGCAAGATTCATAAAGATAATGCATAAGAGAAGCTTTTCTAAAAGTCGCATTGCAGATGATTCTTTCTTGAGTTTTCATTTTCAAAAGACCGTACGACCGATTTGATTGGTACTTATGAAAAGGCATTACGTTTTTTTATTTTAGTTGCTTTAATTGCGGCCTCGCGCGTTATCAAGACCTAGGAACGATACCAATACCTTTCGAACGGTATTCTTCGCGCACGAACTTGGCCTTGACACTCATTGATAAAGATTATCCAATGAGACAATATGTAGGTCAGTTACAGCATGCGGTGCTTGCAACGATCGGCGGCGGCCACTTGATTTGCGCGAGGGTCGCAGCTAATGCAACCTTGAACCTGCACGCTGGTTCTTAAACTTGCAAGGTCCAAGAGAGGAGATATTTTTCAATTTTGCGTAGACTATAATTTATTTCCCTATTCCAAATTCATTTTGCGACTTGAATTGCTCTATACATTTTGAGAAACGAAAAAAAGAAGTTCATGAAACTAATTTGTATGAAAAAAATATCTGCGTGAAAATAATTTTTTTATAATTTATATATTTTTTTTATTGTGTAAAATTGTCAAATATGTTCTCACCTATCCAGGAACCAACTTCATGATCCATGTAAATAGTACTGTTGCTTTCGGACAATTGCGGCAATAATACAGCGCTGTAGCCAATCGGCATTCCGCCACCCGTTACCAGTAATAATACTGCACCTGTTACTAAACACTGCAAATAATTCAACCGTTAATTATTTCGCTCATTGTGTTCGCTAGTATAGAATGGTTGCAACGGAATTATCCCGAAATATTTAATTCATTGTTGGTATGAAGTAACAAAGAAGGGCATACGATCGCGTTATTCGGGATCGAAATTTCAATTATGGCTGAATACATTTTTAAATTGCATGGATTAATGTCGGGAAGGTTTGAATCGGTAACATCGCAAAATTGCACTAAAAAAATCGTTTGATTGTACCAACAAGACGTATATGATTGAAGGAATTTTGGTTAAATCAAACACGAATTTCTAGTTATCATGATAAGACTCGATTTTTTATAACTAGAACGTTTAAGGATGTTTTGTATGTACAATCCCAGCAAAAAGTAGCTGAAAATCAATATTGACGAATATATCCACTTTTGGTGTATTTTGAGTAAGAAATTGTGTGAAATATTACAATTTGATCTTAGCTACAGTGCAGAGATATATTTTTTAATATTTATTGCATTTTTACTGAAATATTCCGAATTTTGTTAATCGAAATGATTAATTTATGGCAGAGAATTTCACCTTGTGACAGATACATGGCCAACTTCATTGAATTATATTTAATATCTTTTCAACCAGTTAGTACTTGTATAATATTATTTGACCAAATATTTCCTCTATATCTAAACTTTTGCAAATTTTAAACAAATTCTGATTATTATTTCCATGTGTTTTTGTCATTTGAATCGACGTGGTTATACGTTTCCCAGAGAACACATGTTAATTCGGTGCAAATTAAAATCCTTATAGCTTGTGAACGCTTTAGTGAATCGATTTAAAAATTGTACTGAAGATTCGAAACATATGTAAGGACATTCTGTACAATATTTATTAAATTCTCAATATTTTGAAAATAGATACAAAACATCCTTAATTGATTAAGTTATTGCATTTGTTGTATGACAAATTTTTTAAGTGTGTTTGATCAGCTACAAAATAGAAAATAGAGATTCAAGGAATTTTTATCCTGCAGCCAATTCAACATGCTTAAGAATGTTTTGTGTACAATCTCAGCAAAAAGTAGCTGAAAATCAATATTGACGAATATATATTCACTTTTGGTGTACTTGTATAATTTTATTTGACCAAATATTTCCTCTGTATCTAAACTTCTACTAATTTTAAACAAATTCTGAATATTATTTCTATGTGTTTTTGTCATTTGAATCGACGTGGTTTCCCATAAGAACACATGTTAATTCGGTGCAAATTAAAATCCTATAATTTGTGAACGCTTTAGTGAATCGATTTTAAAATTGTACTGAAGATTCTAAACATATGTAAGAACATTCTGTACAATTTTCATTAAATTCTCAATATTTTGAAAATAGATACAAAACATCCTTAATAGTTTTTACCATAAGGATTTGATTAGTATTTTCTGGTTGGATCTATAAAATTTCTTGTTACATTAATTTCTTTTCTCGCCGAGACACTCTTAACTTAACTCGTATTTGCTATGAAATGTATATAAAGAACTAATATTAAATGCAAAGTATATATATTTTTTTCTCTTACGAGCAGTAGTGCCAGAAAAAGAACGCTAGCTCTGTGATTGTGTATGTTTGAACTGCATGCATTCTCTTTTTGCATCACTTTTTATCAGTTTAATTTCTAACAAACTGAACTTAAAATAATTTATTCAATAATCTGGATTGAATTTATGCAATAATTGTGTTGGAATTCAGAATATTAAACAGACTTTTGAGATTAGATGAAAAAAATTTTAGACGACTTGATGCTGGTGAATTTAGTATTATTAACCAGAAAATTTGGTAAATTTAAATTAATTAGAAAGAAATTAATTAGAAATTAATTAGATTCATCTGGTAATTCCTGCAAGAATTCTGGTTCGTCCATTTTCCAACAGGCATACTGATTGAATCTATTAGAATTCTAATTAATGCAACCAGATTTTTTTCTCAGTGTGACGATCGCAAAATTACATGTACTTTAATCACAAAGAAATCATAAGAAGAATTTTGCAGCATTTCCTATGAATAGCTACGTAGTAATTGTGTACGAAAGCTTGACCGAATTAAAAAACGGATAAGAAACATGTGTGGTTGACAACTAGCCAAGATTTATTATCGCTTCGCTGCATTCTTTCTATAAAATCTGAACAGCTATTATATAGTACGGCATTTTTCCCGTTCCTGTGCATTTCCTCGCAGATACTGACATAAGCTCCTGGAAGATATTTATACGTCGCGCGACATTCGAGGCAAAGAGGGTATACTTACAACAAAAATCCCTAGACACATGGATGTGTATCTTGCGAGAAACGATAAATAACACATCGCATCGAGAGAGGAGGAGATAAGTGTACACAAGTGCATAAGCATAATTTTACGCTGAAACTATTCATTATGACGTAACGCAAATTACATGTTGCAGATACGTATAAATATACTTTATGAACGTATCTCCACGCGCACTTATTGAACAAGCTTAAAGACGCGATATCTTTACTAAGGAATATTAATATATAATTTTATACGCACTCTACGACCTTTTAGAAAATCCTTTTAGAAATATCGTTTATATCTTAGATATATTTATGTTACCGTATGCTGCATTTCCGCAGCAAAACAACAAGAAGAAAGCGATGAAGAATGGTAGGTGCTGTATTTGGCAGCTTTCTATCTATTTTTAAACAGAAAAATGTTCTGGCACTAATCCAGAATATCTCCGTCGCTCTCGCATCGTTGAACACGCGACTACCGCGTTACAAGTTCCTTTTTGCATGAAAGTTAGCAATTCACACGCTGAGTGATTGCGAGCAATAGAAGAAAGAAATCTGTCATGCACGCGATAAGCTCTAGAATATGTTTTGAAGTGTTTTGATTTTTTTGCAATCCACTGCGCGGACGTTTCAATAATGTCGTAAAGATATCGGAGAAAATGATGGCGTGAAGGAAAACTCTTATGATTATATTAAAGGAAGAAAAGAATAAACAATACCCTTTATCTGCTATAGGATTGCACAAGACCTAAGACAAGACAATATTCATAAAAATATTGTATTGGTATTGAAAATTTTCAAAAATTTAAATCTTGTCTTGGTCTTGAATGAATATTGATAGCAAAAATCTCGTCTTGTATTGTCTTGTCTCGATTTTATTAACAATTTTTTATCTAATATTAAAAAATTATTTAAATAATATTTAACATAATTTTTGTAATATAATTTGAAATAATTATTACTATTGTGTTATATTTTAATTATGATTATTATTATGTAATCAATATAAATGCCGTCTATTTACATAAAAAAACATTTACTGTTTCATAGAAAACAGAAATTAATAACTATTTACAGGCTCCAAGGGAATGTGCAGATATAAATATTTTGGAGTGGTAAAAAAATCAGGTTCATATTTATCCCATCATATTTATCCCACATTGTCAAAAATGGCTCGAAACATTTTAAGTGAAAATGCTCTTTAATGTCTAAAATTTGCGAGTTTAATTTCTAATTTATAAAAATATTATATTGTATTAATATTAAATGTTATTAAATTTATTAATATAAATGTTTTTATTGAATACAATTTTTTAAAATTCGTATATAGTGATATATATATTTTTTTCATTTACAAATATAAATATTTTAGTTTTTTTAAGAACCAGTAATCTTGACAAGACTAATAATCTCGACAGTCTTAGGCTTGGTATTGTCTTAATAACTAATTAAAAATCTTGTCTTGATCTTGTTTTGAAATTCAAGACAAGACAAGACAATATTAAGACTAATCTTGGTATCTCGTGCAACCCTAATCTGCTAATAATTGTTAATTTAATACCTGCGCGAGCACTCCTTTCGCATTTGATGAATATTGCACAGCCGCTTCTTCTTTATGCAAAAGGCTCTTTCCATTCTTGACATTATTATTGTTATTATTATTCTCGGTGTCCGATGTATACGCGACTCGTTGCATGTCGCCTGATGAATTCAGCATCGAATGCAGCTCCTCGCTTAATCTTGACAAGAAAAATATATTTTTTCTCTTTCTACAAGTATAATTTGCACCAGATTAGTCGGTACGTACCTTGTCTCGAGAGCCATTTTCATCTATGTAACTGAATCGATATATTTGTTACAAAATTCTCAAATATTTTCTATCCGTAATTTCCACTTGCAAAACGAGACGTCTCTAGCACTACATTTATCATTAACAAGTTCTGATCACGTTTTATGCGGCAGCACTGCTGCAGTTTGTTTTTAATTGTCACTCTTGGATTGCATAAGTATCTTCTAAAAAGAGTGGGATAATGTAACGTAAGATACACACGCAAATCTGTTTTATGTTAATCATTTGAGTGCCAAGTGACGCGATCGCGTCGCTTCTGTCCAGTGCTTAAAAGTGCCAACATATCAATTTGTAAATTTTCAAACTCGGTTTTTATCGACGCATCTGTTATTGTTTGGTCACAGTTAAATTAAGAAGAAATTGAAGTAATATAATAAGAAATTGAAGCATATAATATAACACTCTGCATGTATACATTTTTTAAATATTATAAACAAGCATTATTATAACAATATAATAAATTTTTTGACTCGGAATTAGACAAGCGTTATAGCGCTTGGCATCTTTCGTTCGAATTTCTACAAAAGTCCGTGGCACTCAAACGGTTGCTATAATAATTTCCATATACAGGGTGTCCCAGACCACCCGTACACCCTTTTTAAAATGAAAATAAATGGCTTTTAAAAATCACGAACAATTTTTAATTAAATCGGATACACTCTATCAAACGATGATATTTTCAACTTTTGATTCCGACCGGAAATACGCCATCCGGATCGGAAGTTGAATTTTTTTAGGGGAACATGGTTAGGTTAGATTCATTATTTCATCACAGTTACTTTTAAGGTCAATTTTAAAATTGACCTTGAAAGTAACTGTGATGAAATAATGAACTTCAAATGTTAAGATTGACAGAAGCACTTTTAGAAAAAATGTATGATACAAAAGTTTCTTATTTTTTTCACGTACAATTTGAATGTAATAAAAAGTATCATGTTCCCCTAAAAACATTCAACTTCCGATCCGGATGGCGTCTTTCCGGTCGGAATCAAAAGTTGAAAATATCACCATTTGATAGAACGTACACGATTTACTTAAAAATTGTTCGCGATTTTTTATAAAAGCCATTTATTTTCATTTTAAAAAGAATGTACGGGTGATCTGAGACACTCTGTATATATATAATTACGTAATATAAAAAAGTAAATATAATTCAATGATTAGATCTATTGACATAGATAGTTCAATTTAGAAATGAAAAGATAAAACAAACATATATGAAAAAGAATATATAACAACATAATTACGTTTTATTAATCTGCATTGCAGATTACTAATTTAATTCGAAAGGAAAATAAATTTTAAATATATGTTTTTACCATCGCCATTATAGTTATTATAGACATATATTGATGTAAAATATAATTAACAATAATTAAAAAACAGTATAGATATATTTGTATAAAATATTGTTATTTATTTGCGTCCACTGTTATTTCCCGAATTTGACATCGGAATTTAGATTGAATGAAGAAAAAATATGGAACTTCAGATAGAGACAATATGTTATTCTCTAGATTTATTTCAAATGAGCTGACTTCATATAACACACAGTGTATATAGTATAATACACAGTGTATATAGATTTTAAATAGCGACAGCCGAAAAAATGAAAATGGAAAAACATTCGCAAATGTATTCGCGTAAATGTTGAGAGATATCTGCAGATTATCAATTAAAAAAACTCACATACATGTGAAAAATAATTTCCATCTAGAGATAACACATAAGACACGATATAAAATAATGTATCAAATCAAAATAAAAAGAATAGAATATTTAAAAATTAGAAAGTTTATACAGAAAACGGGTAAACTTATATAAGAATTATTTATATTTAATTTATTAGCTCTCTCTCTCTCTCTCTTTCTCTCTCTCTCTTAATTTTTTTAACAAATTAGTTTCAATAACAATACGAGTCGAGTGTCGATGTTATGACACATTTATTTATTTATTATACAAAAAAGCATAAAACAAATAAAAATAAGAATAAAAATAAGATTAAATGAAGGAATAGCAAACGTTTTTTTGAGTCATTTTCAGGGCAAATGTGATGATATAGTAAGACAGTATAACAAAGGTGTTACATATCTGAATCGATGAGATAGGATGCCGTCCAAAGTAATACTAAATGTCTCGATATCTCATTATGTTGACGATGCTTCCATCGAAGATAATGGCGAGTTGAGGAAACAAATGCAAACAAATCAACATCTCCAAAAACAAAGAACGACTGGATATCAAGATAATGAGGTACCGAGATACATTTAGTATTACTTTGGACGACATCCTCATCGATTCAGATATGCAACACCTTTGTTATAATTTTACTACATCATCATTTGCGCTGAAGATGACCCAAAAATAGGGTCGAAACGTTCGCTATTCCTTCGTTTAATCTTATTTTTATTCTTATTTTTATTTGTTTTATGCTTTTTTGTATAATAAATAAATAAATGTGTCATAACATCGACGCTTGACTCGTATTGCTATTGAAACTAATTTGTTAATTTTATATTTCGAGTCTTATACTTTTATTATTTTTTATTTTTTTATTTTTTTTCTCTCAAACATTTCTCATTATTTATTCACATGGTTCTGTTATTGATTTATATTAAATGTATTTTTTCACATTTAAAATTTCTATTATACTTTGAATTCTTTAAATGCTATTATTTGCTTCCCAGATAGACATATGTCAGCATATTGCCTGCATAATGACAAAATTTTTAAATTGAAAATGCTTGCATAAACATTGAAAGATGTGTCCTCATATGACATGAGTGTTATCAGCAAGTGAAAGAAATCTTTCGATGCTGTAAAAATTGCGAAAATATACTGCTTATTTTGTCAGAAATAGAACGCAATTAATCCGACATTATTGTAGCAATAAGAAATGAATATATTTACAAAATTATTTTTGATTAAGGTGATGGCTAAGGTGAAATGGCTATAACTTCGTCAGCGGATATAATTTCGTCAAGCCTTCTTAAAATTAAATAAATGAAGCAATCTCACGTATATTGACTATATTTTCCGATTTGAAAACGATGTTCAAATTGTTTCAAATCGGGAAATATAGTCGGTACGCGAGATTGCTTAATTTATTTAATTTTAAGAAGGCTTGACGAAATTATATCTGCTGACGAAGTTATAGCCATATTTACCTTATGTATAAATGGATGGCATTATGTATCCTTTATAATATATAAAACATTTGGCCCAACAAAATTAAATAATAATATAATTTATCTATTTCATACAAAATTTTATACAAAAATTTTAATATTTTACATAAAAATTTTATTTATATTTATACTTGCATATTGCACTTTACATCTTAAATAGATAATGAATTATTTTCGTTTATTTGCCGGACATTTATTTGTCCGACTTATAAAATCAGCTTAATATCTGAAGCATTGGGATCAGAAATTAAATTGTACAGTATATCTTTAATGTTATTTGTTACTCTTTGCAAACTTTATATTATATAATTCTTCTAACTAAAACTTAAATACGAGAATGATAGCGCATCGCACGTCGCATGGAGGTAAACGAACGAACTAATACATTTTGCATGTGCATTTTGTGCACACACAAATTTATTTCTAATGCCTAAAATGTAACTGAATTGTAATATGCAATATTTTATGTTAATAAAATGCTGTGTATTTTTAAATGACAATACAAAATAGCATAAGAACGCAACTATCTCATAAATACATTAAAATGCAATAATACTAAATTAACATTCGTCAAATAGCTTGCTTTAATTATTGCTCCTACAAATAATACAATTACAACATAATTTTATATTAGAAACATTTTCTATAATGATTGCAGTTGTGCGTTTATAGCAAAGTGCAGCATATTGCTATATTGTGAAATACACAAATATATGATAACAATATGACATTATAATGCCTACATTTAAAGTTACTTGTAATTTTATGCTGTTCTAATTGCATCACAAAGTATACATAAAATGTTTGCATGCTATGTTCAGCATATCTGTCTATCTGGGTTGTTTACATTTACAAAATTGTTTTTTTCCTGTTTTATCCTGAAGAAAAGAATTTCTTTTGATCGATTTTCAGAGTTTAATAGTCACATTGGAAGTTATTATTAAAAATATTCTTTACATTTCCAAGCCTCTATCGACTTAATATTTTCACATAAAGAAATTTACTATAAATGTTTAATATGTATTATTTACTATATACATACATATTATTATATATACATACATATTCTCATGATTATCATATTAAAATATTATTCTTTGAATTGACAAGCATTGCACGTTATTTTCTTATCTAATTATTATCATGATCTTGAAGCTTCGATAAAATCAATAATACTTGACATAATTTTGCCATTTCCGTTTCATCGAAATAAAATTTTATTCATATCTTTTTTTATTAAACGGAATTGTGAATATTTTACTAATAAGAATATCTTATAAAAAAATCTGAATGAACTATATCTTATAAAAATCTGAATTAACTGTATCTTTCTCTTTCTTTATGCTTGCGTGTTTTTAATCGCGCACAGTTTTTTCAATCAACAAAGATTATTTTTACATATATAATTTTTTTTACATAAAAAGAAGATAGAGTTAAAGAATACAATAAATTTTTCCTTTAGCACATTTAATTCATGCAAATTTCATAAATCTTTTCCTTAATGCTATATGTATGAAACAAACTTATTATAATATTGAACGCGAAGAGTGTCTAAGGATGCTGTCACATGGCAGTTGGAATTTCGGAAAACGCAATCTCAGAAAAGTACTAGAATGGTGATCAACCAATCAGAATTTTTTCCAATCCAATTTTTCGATAGCCTCGCTCCACATGGAGTGATTTTTACGGAAAACGGAATGTTATTCTAACCTCAAATTGTTTTTTAATTTAGAAATGTTATTCTAACCCAAATTGTTTTTTAATTTAGAAAATTTCTTTATTATTTTCTGTTATAATAAACAATACATACAAATGTCACTTTTTTATATTTTTCTATTGTATTAATTATTTTTTTTGTCGGAAAACTATCAAAATAAATTTTTATATTTTTACTAATTTCCGAAATGCTCCGAAATATTAGTCCATGGGGAGTCTAGCCACAAAAAAACCGGACCGACAAACACGCAACTTTTATTCTTGACAATATAGTAATCAGTGTTTGCTGTAAATAATTTCAAAATTATTTAGATAAAGATAAAAATCCGTAAATTTATCTTAGATGAGATAAATATGATTTTGCTTTTACTTAATCTAGATGAAAGATGAGATAATTATTGCAATAATCTAGATAATTATCTAGATATTTTTGTTTATTTTAGAAGACTATAAATATTTGTAAAAACTGTGACGCAGATTATAAATGGAATATTAAAATTATAAACACATTCTTTCTCTGTTCCTAAAAAATATTTAAATAATAGCAGAAAGGTATATAAATGATATGATAAATATTTATTTATTAATTTATATTTATAATATATTAATAATATATTAATAATAATAATATAAAAAAATATATTTTAGATATTTTAGATAGATTTTTAGAAGCTTGCCTGGAAAACTTTTTTGCATAATGAAAACGTCATCTTAGACAATTTTTAGATAAGATGACATATATTTTTCATCTAAGATAAAGATAAAGATACTTTGTATTTCTTCATCTAGTTAAAGATAAAGATGATCCATTTCTTTATCTAGATGATTATCTAAATAATTTTTTTATCTAGATACTAGCAAACACTGATGGTAACTATTTTATGTGATAAAATATTTTGATTAAATATTTATATGTACATTAATAAATATTTATCAAACAATTATTTATTAACAATAACATTCTTCTTATAAAGATAAAAATGCAATCCCGTTTAATTCCTAGATCTAGTATTCTAGTACTTTTTCGAGATTCCGTTTTCCGAAATTTCGACTGCCATGTGACAGCACCTTAAGAGGATACTAGAAGATAGAAAAATACACTTACCGACTACTTTGATCTGACTCAACTTTCTCTCTGACGATCTCTTGATCGAGGAATCACGTGACATCACAACTTTACCCGTGGGTCGACTCATTCATCTTTCTGAAGAACATTGAACTCGCGTTTGCGAATCGTATTTCATCCCAGCACTCTTTTGCAGAAACTTCGACTCGTCTCGTCTGTCAGTCTCTTGCTACTTTGAGAGGCATCTGTCCGAAACACGAGACGTGATCCTCGTCATTTCCTTGTCTTGTGTGTCTCGTAACGAGCAAAGTTTTATGAACTATGCGAATAAGAGATAAGTGCCAATTGATTATCTCTCGTCACGATGACAAACAGAATAAACGAAACGATTACGATTGCTTATATCTATGAAGTCTTTGCCATTTGATCGATTATAATTATTCGTTAAAGTGGAAAGAACTTGTGCGCCTTCTCTTGTTCAACTATCACAAGCTAATCACAGCCTTCGTGTGTTTCCAGCGGTAATGCAGCTTTTTGAATAATCAATGAAGTCAACATCACCTTCAGTAACTTTCATTATATCTATACTTCTTATATCTATGCTTCTTAACGTATAGTCCGACTAAATAGACTTTGAACGTGATGAGGAGGAAAAAATTTAACGTAAGTCATGCCAGTGATTTAATTTACATACCAGATTGGCGCGTTATAAGTAACATATGCGTAATCACGATTTAAATACGTTTTAAAAAATGCGTTCTATAAAGGCAGTATAGCTTTTCTCGATGAAGAAAAGCTTCGATTTTCTCACGCGAATCTTTTCAAATCTGGTCGAGCTGAGATTTATGTGTATTATCACTATAATTCACTTTAACAGAGACCAATTGGCTTCGTTTCTTATGGATTTAATGCCTGCGAGCGTAATGATGAAGTCTACATATATTGACTTTACGTATTATTATAATCGGCTCGCGGGTCTTCGAGAACTCGTAGAACTGGTAGTTCTCTTTGCCTTCAATTTCCTTTCTTCACTAAGTAACGACGCTATCGCGAAAATCGTCTATTTTTTCCTTGACGTTGGTCGCTTTTAAACGATTGTACACGCGATAGCCGTATACGATACACTTCAGATATTCTCGTTATCAGAGAGATGGCCTCCTCGTTAATAAATATAACGCTACTTCGTCGCAAATAAAACTCGTTCGAATATGAAAATTTCGTAATAGAAAAGCTGGTCGACATTCGCGACTAAATATCGCACGTGGTCGTCCAAGCTCGCCTTGGCTTATTCGCCGACTCTACTGAATGAGACATCTGTCCGTGGCTCGCTCTTATAGGCCGCTCACTTCGATTAGGCCCCTTTTTTGACGACGAACTAGTGTCCGCCACGAGGGCCTTGGCTCGCTGACCTCTGCGAAGAAAATGTCCAGGGACTCTCTTTTGACTTAATGACGACCTTAAAAGCAAGCAAGTCGAAAATGTCAAAAATTAATCTTTCCTACACAGTAAAAAATTTTGTGTTAAATTTAATATATTTCACATGTCCCAATTTATCCTCTCTAATTTTAATGTTAATTTAACAGAAGGCAAGTATGTAAATAAATAAGAAAAGTAATATGTTTAAAAATTAACACAAAAGTGTAATACTTAAACTTTATCTGGAAATAAAGTTTATGTTAAATTAACATATTTATAATGTTAAATTTAATTAAAAGAAAATGTTATTCTTACATTTTTATGATAAATAACAGAAGAAATATATCGATTTAACATATGGAAACTGTTATAGAGAGAAAAATAACACAACTTATCTGTTCATTTTAACATATAACATATTTCATCAAAAATTCGTGCATTTACATATTAATTGTGTTCTTTTAACTCTTACAATTAGAAACGGTGAATATTAACTCAACGCAGAAATGTCAAAATAACGCAATGATAATATGTTACATTAACATAAGAGTATGTTAAAAATTTAACACAAAAATTTTTACACGAGAAAATTTTAATAGAAATACAAAATGTTTTTTACCGTGTAATCTGTTTTCGCAATAACATTTTCATTATAAATAGATCCATAGGCGGATCTCGCTCTTGATTAAAAATTTGTTGATATAAAAGAAATTTTCTGATAATGTAACAAGAGTTTGTCACTTATTACGATAAAATTAATGAGAAATATTGCGAAATATTGAGGAATGCTATGCATTTTATTTAATGAAAATTTATTAAAAATAGTTCTGCCTTGAATCATTTCGATGATAATAAAATTTTTCTCTCGCATGCAAAAGATTTTGATTGAAAATGTCATTTTATTTCAATTAATGTTCTCGAGCAAGGGAAGCACAATTTCCCTCTGTCCTTAGAAGAGAATATCGCCATTCTTGAAATATTTGCGATAGCTTGATAAATTATTATAATATTATTATTATAAATTATTTAATTACGTATGTTATATACAATCATTACTTTATTATTTATAATTACTTTATGTATGTGATATACAATAATTAAGTTGCGCAAAAGTGCGAGTGATAAGTTGTTTTTATAATTGTTTTCAAGATTTATCATTTCATTTTATCTCATATTTTCATTTTTTTCCTATTTTGAATCATTAAAGTTGTGAAGATAAATAATATTATCTATCTTTCATTTTATGATATCTCTAATGTCGCGTATTCATAGTCGATACACGCGTTAAATTGCAAACAATTTACGAGGTATACAATTAAGGAGTACATTAATAATATACAGGAAAATTTCTTGTAACGATGATAAACTGCGCCATAGATCCGTGTAAAATAACGGAGATTAATGAAGGTCTATCAAAGCTTGACGCAACTTCAACGCGTCTTAGGCCATATCGATTATTTGAAATAATTAATGCTGGATTAGCGACCTATTTTTTTGTTCTTATACAGAAGGGAGGAAAAGAGAGAGAAATAAGCTGGAGGAAAAATTAATTAATCGCCAGCTTACACAATGTTGCAAAAGGTGCTTGAGATTTAGCGAGGAATTATGCGTTGTCGACTGTATACAGAGATGATGTTGCGTATTTCCCGCATCTATGCCGGAGGTGGGTTTACCCCTATATTCCCTAATTATCCGTAATTGGCCGTTGGCTATTTGGAAATTAATCGGGTCACCTGGTGTACTCGCAGTGACAATCAATGTTATAGTTACGAGGTCACGAGTTGAATTATTTGAAAAATTATTCAATTATCTTTCGCGAATCCAATCTTGCCGAAAGAAGAATAACAGAATGTTATGTTGAAAAAAGATAAAACCTATTATAACTAATTTCTCTCTAACAATTAGATACATGATATGGAACTTGTAATGAAGAGCAAGGCAGGTCGTGTTTTGCATGTACCGGCAAATGTGCTAGTTAATTAAGTGTTCTTGTCCGAGCTGAATTTTAGCCGGATGTCGATGATCTAAAAGGGAATTTCTAATCAACGTTAATTAACCGAGCTGTCGGTGTAATCAAAAATCGCTCGTTAATTATATCATCAGCTATAAGATTTAATAAACTTAATAAATCGAACTTAATAAATCGAACTTAATAAATCGAACTTAATAAATCGAATCACTTCGCTTTTTTAATTTAAATGTATTATTTATGAAAAATGTACTATTTATAACAAAAATTAAATTATTTATATTATAAATATATATTAATATAAATAATATTTATAATATAAATATATATTATATTTATATTATAAATATTATTTATATTATAAATTATTTATATTATATTATTTATAACAATAATGAAATTTTGTAATTATCTTTCAAAATTTCGTATTGAGAACGAACCATTGATCATTGAACGGATCGTTGCGGTGTACTTGCATTAACAATGCTTATCATAGGGAGAGATTCCCGAATTCGAATCCGGGTTAACCGATCGCGTTTATGCTGCGGTCGACATTATTATCCAAATACCTGTTACTAATTACGTCTCGTTTGCACGATGCCACTGAAATTAAATACCTTTCAACGTAATATCCGCTTATTTCAGTTATTAAGAAAAATAAGAAATTATCTCACGCATGCGTTTGCTTTATTTTACGTAATTCATGAAACACTTTTAAAACGCGCAATCCTGTTATCTGCTTGCGATTCCGGATAGACAAGTGGATTTTCAAGCAAATAATGATTCGTAAACGGGTGATCTCGAGTGACCGCTAGCTTCAATTGCAAACCGACAGAAGGGCCGATGCGACGCGACGCTCGTTCGAGTGAAGTGTCATCTTTATCGGTCATCAAGTATCAGCCAGCCGAACATTCGTCCATTAACGTCTGCTAACCTTGACCCGATATTCAGATAAACTCGTTGACAAGGCTAACGACTCTAACTTGACTGATTAGATTGAGAGAACCACCTCGAATACGTTCATACATACGTACGATCGTTTGTATACATGCACGCTCGTTGATTTGCGGAGGGTCTTCCACCGGCGTCTCTCTTCCTAGATTTATGATCTCGCAAAGTGGTCCAGGGTCGCATCTATGCGCCGCTCGCTGATACAGACAAAAATGAGAAGCCGCGATAACAATTACGACAATTTTATTGCAGCTCCCTCAAGTACGAATCATAATCGAATACGATCGCTGCGAACGTAACTTCTCATTGTTCTTAATTTTAAGTTATACCTCAGGGAGAACTATCTCATCTGCGTAAACTATTGGCTTTTTACCTACACGTTAAAAAATTTTGTGTTAAATTTAACATATATCACATGTCCCAATTTATCTACTCTAATTTTAATGTTAATTTAACAGAAGGCAAGTATGTAAATAAATAACACAAGTAATATGTTTAAAAATTAACACAAAAGTGTAACACTTAAACTTATCTGGAAATAAAGTTTATGTTAAATTAACATATTTGTAATGTTAAATTTAATTAAAAGAAAATGTTATTCTTACATTTTTATGATAAATAACAGAAGAGAGATGTCGATTTAACATATGGAAACTGTTATAGAGAGAAAAATAATACAACTTATCTGTTCATTTTAACATATAACATATTTCATCAAAAATTCGTGCATTTACATATTAATTGTGTTCTTTTAATTCTTAGAATCGGTGAATAATAACTCAACACAAAAATGTCAAAATAACGTAACGATAATTTGTTACATTAACATAAGAGTATGTTAAAAATTTAACACAAAAGTTTTTACACGAGAAAATTTTAACAGAAATACAAATTGTTTTTTACCGTGTAATAAAAATATAGAATCCGAGTGTATTTCTTTATCGATTATTTTTTTATCAATTATTTTATTTTACATATCTCTATCTTTTTTTTACATTAGAATAATAATATAATTTATATTTTACATAAGTAAATCGTTTCGCGCGAAAATAATTCTAGATAAAATATATTTAAAATTTCTTTTTTTCTATTTAAAATAATCTAAAAATTTTTTCTTCTATTTCTTGTAGATAATAAGAAATAAAATTGTAATATGTCACATCGCATTGAATATAATTGTTTGACGTGGCAGTTTCGTATTTTACTTATGCACGGCTTTTCAGGATAAGTCTATTAGTCATTATTTGCTGAACTGTTGAAGCTTAAAAGTTTAGATTAGATAGCATAAATGTAGAGGAAGAATATTCGATGGAGATCCTACTAGGTATATGCCTTACGATCGTACTAGCACAAGGTCGCTAGAAACGCTGCGGTTTCTCATCAAGACCGTCTTATCAAGAGAAATCTTTTGTAATCCACTCTTGTGTAATTCGTATTTTTTATTTTAATTCACTCGCTCTAACTGCATCGGAATTTTAATCTTTGCTCTTTTTTTATTATACGAAATTTCACGTAGAAGTCTATGTTCAATTAAAGAGAAATAAAATTATTAAAATTGAAAGAGAAATTTTTATTAAGATTATATATAAATTCTTTATAAACATTTTATACATGTCCTTTCTTTGAAATATGGGTGAAAAAATTAGAGTATTTACTTTTTTTACCAAACTTTGTGGCAACGTCGGATTTGAAACCGGTATAATAGGCAATTATTATTTTTTTCTTGCTTGTTACGCAGGCAGAATGATACGCGCGTTTTTCTACCTGTTGAGTTACATCATTTGCACGATATTAAAGAATCTATTTGTGGAGAAAATGATGAGGTATATTTGTGCATTTCCGTTGACGTAACAATTTATCACAAACCTGTCTAGAGGTCAAAATTATAAGTCTACAAAAGCACACGGTAAAAAACATTTTATATTTCTGTTAAAATTTCTTGTGTAAAAATT